TGAATATACTTAAAATTCTATGAATATACTTAGCACCAACTGGTCTATAATGGTTTCAGGACGCCATTCTCCATGAGGTAGATCTATGCCACATGTATCAAACACTGACTCATGTCATATAGTTCTGGCTGGGAGGGTAGACTAGATCTAGATCTTTTCCAAAAATTGCCTAAAAGTAGATTTTTTTAATATTATTATATTTATTAGATCGAGATCTAAATGTCAATTTCTTTATCACAGTCCAGTAAAGACCATCCTTATTTCACTTGCTCTCGTTTTCCTTCTTCTGTGTATTTGGTTCTGGCCTCCACAGCAAATACAAATCTACAACTACTATAATTCCAGCAAAGAGGGAAATATCAATAGTGAGGCTGTAGCCACTAATGCTGCACCACTGAAAATTTACAGCCAAGATGAATCCTTGGTCAACCTTCTAGGAAACCTAACCTTCAAGAATTATGGTATTGTCAGGAGTTCTGATCATTACGTATGGAAAGAAATTCGTATTTCATACGTGGAGGCACAGAATGTGTCAGGTCCATATTTGGGCTGGGCCGATATAGGTCATGCTAACTATCTGTATCATGATGTATCAGGTGATCTGACTCACCCTGCATCTGGAATGAGGAGTAGTGTACCACTAGGAGGTAAGTACAATACTGCACCAAGTCAAGTTGTCTTATAAGTATAATATGCAATATAAAAATGTGTTAAAGTTCATATTTTACTGCATGTGTGTAAATTCTGGTTCACAATTATGACACTAGCTCAACATTGAGTCAAAATGTGGGGGAGATTTGATCTTTTGATGCTCAATTGATGTTGAAATAGACTGGGAGTCTATTCCAGCATCAACGTTGTGTCATGCTAGCATCAAAATGTGAAACTGCCTTAAGCTAATTGATGTTGCATATAGGTATTTCCACTGGCAATATTGAACTTCGTGGTGATGGAACATTTCATGAATGGAGCATCTTCAATCAGTACCCTGCTGGAGCAGCCAAAATCCAAATCATTGATGATGTCTTCATGGGTATTAGAACAGTTGTCCAGGGCCAAGAACCAGTGTCCATTGTACTACAGACCCAACCCAGCAACCAACAACTACCTGCAGTAGAAGCCCTGAAATACCAGGGTGAGCTGTAAGATAATATATGCTGGTACAGTGACTGAACATGTATTCAACACACATTATCTACAATCAAA